TTTAAATTAATTTTTAACAAAACGTTCTAAAAGCCCCCATAGACTTATATCCTTTTGGGGAATGTTTGGCACTACCAGAAGCTTCTCTATGGTGGCTCTAAAGCAGATTTGAAAATAAGTACTTATCTAAGCACCTATAGTAAACCAAAATTGTTTCCAGGTGAGCAGGCTCAGAAGGTTTTGTAAATTTGTTTAAACTTTCTGGCTGTTCATGTGACACTTCATGAGTATGTTGTGGTCAGACAGTCCTGTAAAATGCTATGTGAGCTCGTACCTTTTTGCCAGGTTGCTTAAGGTTTTACTGTGAATTTGTTATTCCAAAGGCTGATTTACTTATTTAGATCCTGAATTGTCTGTCCTCTAGAGATCCTCAGAGCATAGTTCCCTCTAAGCTGAGTTGGTGTGAGCTAGCTCACAAATTTTTAGCCTCCGGCTCACAGATTTTTGTCTAAGATCAGGAAGGATGGCTCCAAAGCAAACTGATTTATGCAGCAGCCAAATCGCTCGCTCACAACTTTAATGCCAGTAGCTCACAAAGTAGAATTTCTGCTCACAAGACTCCATAGCTTAGAGGGAACATTGCCTCAGAGTGGCTTACTATACAACTAATAGACTCTAATCAGTCAAATGAAGACTTCAAACAAAGCAGAATAAAACCAATACCAATATTCCCAGCCAGCATCAACCTCCCAACTAGGCAGAAGCTGTCCATCAGTTTTTCTAATCTTTTTCTTTAAAAGTGTATTTTAAAATTTATCCTGGAAAACAGGCAGGGAAGGGAGCAAATGCTTAATTTAAGTAGCAGTATTCTGCTTGAAACTGAGTACTACAATATCCTCCTGGAGTTTTTTTTTATATCCCTACATTTTCCAGAGAAAATGTAATGATTATGCTACAGCCTCATTAACCTCACTTCATAGGGTGATTCCACACTAGACCTTAAATCCTGGTTCAACCCTGTCCCCGAACTTACATTCTACACTGCACTAGAATTTACCCCTGTAATTATCTCGAGGTATTTTTGGTTTCCACATTACATTGAGGTCACCCCGGTTTTGCCCCACACTTGTCCTGGGATAAACGGACGCTGTTATAACCAGGGATAAATACAATGTATTGTATTTATCAGAGTTGAACTCTGATAAAACCAGGGATGAGATCCAAGTGTGGAAAGGACCATAGACTCTGAGTTTGGGAGTGATCAATGGATCACTCCGTTCATAGTTGCACTGTATCATGTGCACATTCTTCCAAATTGTTATAAAATCATGCATTCAGAAGGAGTTACACCATCTGAACTTTTGCCCCCCCAAACTGAATTATATCATTCACCAATAACACAGTTGTTTTATCTGGCAAACCATAGTGTGCCAGAAGCAAAGAGGGATGTGGCGTTGATAGGTGTTTCCAAATTAAACATCTCCAAATGTCTCTAACAAACAAGCCTCACCCACTGTTTTGGCCGCATCTTCTGGGTATGCAATAAATTAATGGAATCCAGCTGTCTAGCACATTATATTGTGGCATACAAATTTTCAGCTTAAGAAAACCCATTAAGTTTCTAGTCCAGCTGGTACTTCATATCTATTTCCTGGGGTCTTATAAATTCCCAATTTACAGCACTATCGGTTTTATCTAATAAACATACACTGCCACCATGACTGTTTTATCAAAATAAGAGTCTTGTAGCTTCTACTCCTGCTTTGATGCTACCATTACCTTTAGTTGCTTATTTAGTAAGAAGTCTAGCCCATTGGTCAAAACTTGTCAGGGCTTGTGAGCTAATCAGGGTGGGCCACAACCAATACTTGAATGGGAAACTGCCAACGAAGACCTGTGTTGCTACACAGAGGAAAGCAATGGCAAACCACCTCTGTTTGTCTCTTGCCTTGAATACCCCATGGCTGGGATTACCAGGAGTCAGTTGCTACTCGAGGGCACATTCGCACTCTCGTTCCCTCCTTACTAAAAATTCCAACAGCACTGTTTATGTTGAGGGAAGGGTTTTGGTCTCGGGGTTGTATAAATTGAATGTCTACATAGTTTTAAAATTTGAATACCTTGGTCTTTAATATATAGTTGTTAACAGTAAACCAAATTAGGCTTTTTCTTTGCAGATACTAAAACGTTAAGCAATTGAACCCAACTGTTTTTAAATCAAAAATAAGATAAATGCATTTTGTCCTATTTCTAACTGTCTATCCTACAGTTTTAACCCATTATTCCTAACTTTTCTGAGTGATACATTTTACTCCCTATGTTTTCAGGGAAGTCAGCGCTCTCCTCTTCAGGAACTCCCCCTCCCCCCCCCCGCTTCCAAATCTAACCTGAGGTTCACTTGGAACCTACTATGCTTTCCTGAGGTGCCAGAACAAAACATTTCTTTTTTGGCTTCTTTTTAATGGCATTGTTGTAAGCCACCTTCAACTTACCCACTGTCACTTACCGACTGTCATTTAGCTTCCAACAGAAAAAAAATTCTTTCAGTCTTAACCAATCATGGCTAAGTTCCATTTCATACAAAACACCAAGCTCAATTTCGTTTTATGCTTAGTGTCCAACAGAAAGCAAGCCTTCTACACAAGCTCCTCTTTAACATTTTTTGCCTTTCATTTTAAACCTTACACATAATCTTTTTAAATAGTATAAAATTCACTTTCAAACTGTACAATATTATTTTTATATCATTGCAGCCTGAGTACTTGATAGAGTAATGGAATCCAGCAATCTAGCACATTACTTTGTGGAAAATAAATAATCAAATTCAGATCTTGTTTTTTAAACAATAAGTTTTTAGTTCTCATGGTAAAGAGAAAAGCTTATAAATATGCAAGTACTGAATTGGATCCAGCAATGAACTTGCAGAAGGTGTTGACAGTCATGGATCTTCTCCACTTTGCCCTCACCTCAACTCCAGGGAAGTTGATTCCTGGGGTTATGGAACCCACATGGAATAACAGTCATATGGGTTGGAGGGCTGTAGCAGAAGGGGGAAATGAGAAAACCCATCCTTTGTGCCTCTTTGACTAGCAGAGTCCAACTTGGGAGTGATTTTACCTCTTCTCCTGGCAGCCCACTGATCTGCATGACTTAGCCCACATGGTTCCCCTGACATTGGGAAACCACTTTCCCAGAATCAGACATGGCTGCTAGAGGAAGTGGAAAGCTGGGAAAATCTATGATCCTTGTGTGAGTGGATCACTGGATCCAACCCAGTGTCTGCAAAATGCTGTAAGGTGTATGCATGAGTCTTATATGGGGAAGTCAGTATAGCATTTCCATTTATTTGATTCATCTAAGAGAAACCAATACACATACCTTTTCTCTCTCAGAAGAGAGGGGCACATAAACTTAGTTCAGACATCCCATAAAACCATGGTTTGATTAAATTGTTATTACTATGGTCACCCAAATGCATGTCACTCCACTAACCATGATTAGTTTGGGAATGTCAGACCAATTTCCCACAAGCGCTGCTCCACACTTGCTGTTCCCTTTTGCTCCATGGCACGTGTCAATTTCACACAAGCTGCTGGCAGCATTGTGCTAAGCTGCAGGGCAAAATGCAGCCACACAGCAGCTTGTGTGAAATTGACACGTGTCATGTCATAAAATGTAATGCTAGGTAGCAGAGATATAAACTTTATGAAGGACACAGAAAAACACAAAGTTTTTTTACTTAAAATACAAAAATACTTAAAACTCTTGCATTATTTTGTTTATTTAACAGTCTCTGATAACTGTCACCTCCCAAACCTCCCCCCCCCCCAAAGATGCCTGCCTAAAATGGAAAGGTGGGGGAATAATGGGATTTGGCAGTGCAGTTTTTAAAACTACTTGAACTCCACTCCATTGAAATACATTGCAGCACAGACAAAATTGCAAAGAAAATGTGGAATTGATTTCCCATTGAGGTCTACAGGCCCAGATATACTACTCAGTTACTGAAATAACAGCCACCAGAGTGAAATGACAGTCCTTGGAAGTAGCAGAAGTGTTCTGGAATTTGAATGAGGGACCCCCCGGAGTGGAATTCCATTCCCAGAATGCTGCTGCTACTCCCAGGGGCTGTCATTTCACTCTGCGCCCTGTCATGCCCAGAACACAGATTATATCACTACGAACCATCATTCTACTCTTGGGGCTTTCATTCCAGTCCCAGAGCACTGTTTCTATTGCTGGAAACAGTCCCAGCGTAGTCTATCTGGGTGTAGAGACCTTAATGGAAAAATCCATTCCTTGTTTTCTTTGTAATTTTGCAAGCCCAGAAGTGCTTCCTGGTGGAGAAGGCAAAGACAAGACAAGAGGGAGGGAGCTGGGAACTTCAGCAGCCTCAAGCTTCAAAGGGTGAGGACAGGAGGGGGAGACAGGGGGAGAAAAGAGCTGCAGGCCTGATTAAAGCCATGGGCGGGCTGCTTCTGGCCCTTGGGCCTTAAGTTTGACACCCCTGGCATAAGGTGTTTTTAATATAGTCACCCCTGCCTGCATTTCCAACACTGGAAATTGGATTGGAACTGTTTTGACTGTGATGGTTTCCCACTGGGAACAATAAAAATGATAGTTTTGCAAGGGTACAGATAATCCTTTCTTAGTGCTCTTTAGGTTGTTTACAGAATCACAGATCCCACTGTTGCTTGCTTGAGAGTCCTGACAATTACAGAGGTTTAACACTGATGATTAATTAGCAGTATATATGTACATATAGTTTGCCTAATACCTTAAAATGTTAAATACTGCAAGTAGACAATGACATCTTTGCTGTTGTAAGTACTGAAGCATCTAGAACAGGCAACTATTAGATGCATGATGTTGGGCTGGGTGGAGCACAGATTAAGTCACAGAGTTATTGTAGTTTGGATCTCAAGTAGGTTGCAGTTTCAATTATTTCAGGAAGCAGCAATAAAGAAACACTAAGGACTAATGGTAATTTCCTGTTATAAAACGTCAAGGGGAAATTGGGAAACTCAGTCCTAACTGCTACTGTTGTTTTTTTCTTCCAGATTCTCACTGGTGTACTGCTGGAAGTGCTTGAAGAAGAGTACCCCAATGAGTTCACTCCAGAGGTGCAGAGAGCTTGGGCCAAGATGAAAAGCCTCATCTGCACTCATGTGACTGCTGCGTACAAGGAGGTGGGCTGGGTGCAGTATCCGAACTCTACGATGTGAGCAGACCAGGGAAACTGGGCAGGGTGGGATTGGGATTTGCTTCACTACCTGACATACCTACCAACCTTCATGTCATTCTCAGTAGGCTTGTAGGCATACCTCTGTACCACTCTGGGGAAGCGGGTGACCACGAAACCCTTTGCTTTACAGGTGATTTCTCATGATTGCTCAGCTTACCTTTAAATAGTCTATTTGGGGGAAGATCAGGTACTACAGACATAGGTATTACTACATAGGTACACAGAATTAATCCAAAAAGGTTCTAGGATCTATGGAACACATGCACAATGAGATGCTGGCTGTGCATCCTTCTGTTTCTGGTAGACTGTTATCTGCACTAGTCATGCACTTTGTGTGCCTAGCTTCTGATTTTGAATTACAGAAGGAGGAATAAATACCTTGTATAATTTGAGATTGTTAGATCGTACTAACAAAGACTCTGAGAGTGGTTTCAGCAAAGTGATTCAGCTTTATTGAAGTAGCGAACAAACACTCAAACGCAACCATAACCAGAACAGCTTAACATTGGGAGCTAGGCTCCTTTTAAACATTCCCGGGCTAACATAGCCACGCCTATTTACAATAAACAACCAATAAGATTGTAAGAATAACGTCCAATGAGAGTCTTTCCCTCGCAGGGAGCTGTAACAGTTCTGATTGGTCGCTGTTGCAAAGCGACCAATAGGAATGTAGTTCTGTGGAGCCTTCGTCTGGCTCAAGCTTAACATTGAGGGTGAATGAGGTGATTCATACAAGTTATTCCAATACATTACAGAGATGCTTCCCAAATGTTTTCCAAGCTTTAGCTTTACTGTAATAATAATAAATGGAACATTATCAGGCAGATGAGTTTTTAGCTGTGGTTTCTAAATTTATTTATTTATTTATTTAATTTGGCTTATATCCAGCCCTCCCCGCCGAGGTGGGCTCAGGGCAGTTTACATTAAATTTAATAGAAATACAGTTATAACCTGTTATAAACAAATAAACATAAAATAACAATTATTTAAAATACTCCTAACGCACTGGAACATAAGTTGATAAAGACAAGAGCAAATTATTTAAAAACAACTTAGGTAACCATATATTTTGATTATGTTCACAGCAGCTCAGATCACCCCACATTATGTGGCAGCAAGGTGGTAAACCAAGGTAAACCTGGAAGGATCAGGGGGGCACTTAAATGCCTCCCTGTGCCTCCCCCAGCCTGTCCAAGGGCCGGCTTGCCCGGGCACCCCGCAGCTGTGGGGCGCCCGGGGAAGCCAAGGGAAGGTAAGGGGTGTGGCCTAATATGCTAATCAGTTGTGCTGTCAGAGGTGTGGCCTAATATGCTAATGAGTTCCTGCTGGACTTTTTCTACATAAAAAGCCCTGGTGGCTCCTAATCGAAAGCCTGGTGGAGGAGCTCTGTCTTACAGGCCCTGTGGAACTGTAAAAGGTTCTGCAGGACCCTGATCTCTTCCAGGAGCTCGTTCCACTAGTATGGAACCACCACCAAGAAGGCCCTGGCCCTGGTTGTCACCAGCCTGGCATCTTTGCAGCCTGGGAGGTCCAGCTGATTCTGTGTCCCTGAACGCAGTGCTCTCCGGGGAACACCATGTTTGCTATGAAAGACAAATGGGAAAGATTTTCTCAGCCCACAAAATTAAGATTCTCATGAGAAAACTATACTTTGCCACACATGTCTAAAAACTAAGGCTGCATTTGACGTTACAGATTGTGGTCCATTCATGAGGTGAATGAGTCTCAAATCCTTAGACTTGAAAACTGTCATGGTTTAGAATCCCACTTACTAAGAAAGAATCAGATCCCAAATTGTTAAACTTTTGCATTTGGACGTCTCAATAAACTAGAGTTAAAGACTTCCCAAACTAGGAAATCTTCAATTATGGCTCTGTGTGAGGAGAGGAGAAAGGGAGTGTGCAAGCCCCAAAAGCTGAAGATTGTTTGCCTCACAAACAAATTGTGAATGCAGCCTTACTCTGAAAAATGCAACAATGCCTCTTATCACCGGGCACCGTTTGTGAGTATCAGGGCCCTGGAACAAGCAGTAACTGCTGTAAACAAAACACATAACTTATACTTAGGGTGACTGGGTGACACATGGGCCTTTCTCTGATAGATTTCCATCTCTAAATTAAATCCACCTAAACTATAAATCACGTATAATAGTCCAACTCCTTCCCAGCCAGTCATTCAGCCTCAGTTCTCTCCAAGCCCATAGATATTTTTGTTCTTCCTTGTTGCTGCCAACTCACTTGCATAATGTTTGGAGCATGTGACTCACCTCAGCTATCTGTCTAGGTGGCGAAGCATGTCGGTTCTGGGCTATTTTCAGAAAGAGCTAAGGGATATTAGAAGAGTGAGCTGGGATTCCCTCACCAATCTTGATTCATCCTGGGTTAGAACAAAAGATTAGTCATACAGATTGCTGCAGGAAGGGATTTGCCAAAGATCTGGATGTTGTCCCGGTGGCAACCCAGTTTCAGCAATGAATCAGCACACAAGGAAGGCAACTGAATGTTTAGCCAGGTGAATATGTAAAGCAGCTGCAGGAATTAAGGAGAAAGATGTGTGTGTGTGTGTGTGTGTGTGGTGATGATGTGTCAGTGTTTGGCTGTTTTTGAGCTATTAGAAAATGTCCATTTGAGTAGACAAGGAGTCTGGCTCAGTGATATCTACATAGATTTTAAGCAATCAGAGCAATAGATGCTAACTGTCACAGAGAACAGACCTTAGCAGAATCCTATCCTGGTCTATTCAGTGGGGCTCTTAGGATTGCACTGATAGTCTGTTGTTGACAAAGGAGACAGCTCCCACAGACATACTATCATCTCGCTTTCCCCCAGTATGGCAAATAGCTTCAGAGGAGAATATAGAGTGGAAACATTACTTGGGCAGAAGCTTAACCTCTGCTACTGTTTTCACAACCTGTTTCCTAACATCTCTGCTCCTGCAACTGCCTTGACTGATCACAGATCTCCCAACATGTTCTTAGTGACCTTGATTGTTCCAAGATCTACTAGAATCTGGAGATAACATTGTAGATCTCTTTGGAGTGTGGTCATTCCTAGGTTTTACATCATCATCATCATCACCACCATTTTGAATAACAAAACAAATAACTGTCTCTCATGATTATACCATCAGGGCACACAGTGGCATCCTCCGGTATATATAATTCTATTTTGGTCATGGACTCCCCTGAACATTCCAACACACTCCAAAATCAGTTCACTCTCTGATCTGTCATTCAGAGGGTCTCCCTATCCACTGGCTGCTTTGCCTGAGTCCTGCCTCCAACATTCTAAACAGTTTGCTGTTCCTCCCCACCACCACCACCACAGCCAGTCAGAACACAGAGGTCATTTGCATATGTGGCCTGATTTGCCTTTGCCTCGGAACACAGAGGTCGTTTGCATATGCGGCCTCACTGGCCTTTCCCTCTAACATTCTAAACAGTTTGCTGTTGATGTTCTGAGGTAAAATAAATTTCCCCTTAGTGTCTGTTGGGGGAAATCATGGTTGCAAATCTCCAGGTGAGGGCTAAAGATCACTCAAAATTACAACTGCTTTCCAGATGGCAGAGATCAGTTCCCCTGGAGAAAATGGTGTGTCCTTCTATCCTGCTGAGATGGCCCCTGTATGACAGCCAATGTGACGTAGCAGTCAGGGCTTCAGCTATTAAAACTGATGTCCAGATGACCCAGATCAGTTCTCTTGGAGACAATGGCTGCTTTGGGCAGTGGTTTCTATGGCATTATACCCTGCCGAGGTCCCTCCCCACCCCAAACCCTGCCCTCCCCAGGCTCTACCCCTCAAATCTACAGGTATTTCCCAACATAGAGTTGGCAACCCTGTAACTGGCTAGGGAACTGCTTTCCAGACCCTTGGAACCCAGAAGACATGGCATAGGAGGAGGTGCTTTTCTGCCTTAGCTGCCACTGCATAACACCCCCCTCTCCCTCAAAAAATAAGTCAGAGGTGGAGAGAACCATATCTGTTACCATGAGGCTGTCCTCCCACTCTGCCCACTTGGGGCAGCAAAATGACTTGAGACAGCCCTGTCTTATAGCTAAGCAGAAGGAAAGAAACATGGCTTGCCTCCCTCCATTTTCCGCTTCCCTCTGCCGCCCCACCAGCCATAGTCGGGACACTCATCCGGAGCTTCCTTCTAGATATCGTATTTCTTCCCACAACTGGCATTACTCCTAGTTATAGGATAACGGAAGCATGGTTTTAAGGGATTTAGGATTCCATGCTGAAAATAAACGGTTGAACTGAGCATTCAGAAAACTCAAATCATGTTATTAGAATAAACCATGAAAATTAGATTTAGGGTTTTTTCTGCTTTGTATGAGAAAATAGGGTGGAAATAAAAATGGAAAACTAGGGCTTCTGAAACAGTAGGCATATGTCACCAACAGCTGGGATCCAGAGGAGCATGATGGAGTTTCTGCTCATGCAGAGCAATTTTTCATTTTCTCTTCCCAGCAGTGGTTGATCCTGAACATGCCCCCCCCAAATAAAGCCCCACAAAGACTGAGGGCCAGAGCAGTACCCTGTGTTGTTGTTGTTTTTAATTTCTTTTATTAGATTTGCACAAGATCCCACAGGGGGCTGGTGTCATTCAGCAGAGTTTCGCCAGACTGGGGCCAGGACTGAAAAAGCCCTGGCCCTGGTCAAAGACAGCCAGACATTCCTAGGGTCAAGGATCACCAGCAAGTTATCAGTGGAGCACAAGGCTCTCCTGGGGACATACTGGAAGGTGGTCCCACAGGTACATTGGTCCCAGACCACTCAAGACCTTAAAGGTCAGTACCAAAACCTTGAACCTGACCTGGTACTCCACTGGAATACAGTGTGGCTGGTGCAGCACTGGTTGAATATGTGATGTCTGTGACGTTCCCATGAGGACTCGCGCCACCGCATTCTGGACCAGCTGAAGTTTCTGGATAAGTCTCAAGGGTAGGCCAGTGTAGAGTGAGTTGCAGTAG